AATAAGAATCATCATCCCTGTAAAATTCCCTTGTGAAATTTAGGTCTCGATATGGTCTGTAAAAGGATGGTTGGTTAATTTGGTTTAAACCCTGTCGACTGCACAAGGGTGGTCAAAGCTGCATGTAGCCTGTTCACCTCCAACCAAGAAACATTAGGACGTGTTTCCTTAAGACACCTGCTGTCCATGTTCACCAGTCAGTAAAATAGGTACCCGGGTGTTAGTCGACCGGTGTGGGTCGCATCCTGGGGACAAAATTGGCCTAATTTACCCGAAATGCTTTGCATAACAAGGGGTTTTCTGTATAGCAGTATGTCATTGATGTCAGCTAGACCTATATACCTTATACATGTACTTGTAGGAATAAAGATTATTATTATTATTATTATTATTATTATTATTATTATTATTATTATTATTATTATTATTATTATTATTATTATTATTATTATTATTATTATTATCCAACACACCGGCCGTCTCCCACCGAGGCAAGGTGACCCAAAAGAAAGAAACACTTTCACCATCATTCACTCACAGTTGTTATTATTATTATTATTATTATAATAGAGATTAAAATAAATTCTTAGCGCATATAAACTGAGATATACATTGGCCCGCCCCCCAATTGAAATAAGTCACAGTGTTTGTATATACTGAATTCTCCTAAGTTTCTACATAATATACTACAAAACCCATTAAAAAATTCTCGTGGCTCAGTAGACAGCGTCCTCAGCTCACAAACTAAGGTACCTGGGATTGATCCCTGCACGAGTGAAACGTTATGGTGGCCCGGTGGCCTGGTGGCTAAAGCTCCCGCTTCACACACGGAGGACCCGGGTTCGATTCCCGGCGGGTGGAAACATTTCGACACGTTTCCTTACACCTGTTGTCATGTTCACCTAGCAGCAAATAGGTACCTGGGTGTTAGTGGACTGGTGTGGGTCGCATCCTGGGGGACAAGATTGAGGACTCCAATGGAAATAAGTCAGACAGTCCTCGATGACGCATTGACTTTCTTGGGTTATCCTGGGTGGCTAACCCTCCGGGGTTAAAAATCCGAACGAAATCTTATCTTATCTTAACGTTAAGACTGTTTCCTTACACCTACTACCCCTGTACATCTTGTACATGTACTTATAGAAATGAAGTTATTATTATTATTATTATTATTATTATTATTATTATTATTATTATTATTCACTTTATTAGTCACTAATACCTGGGTGTTAGTCGATTGTCGAGGGTCGCATCCTGGGGGAGGAAATTAAAGGATACCAATGGAAATAAGACAGACAGTCCCCGATAACGCATTACCGTTATTGGGTTGTCCTGAGTGACTAACCCTCCGAGTTAAAAATCCCAGCAAAATCTTTTCAATACGTGTGTATTGAGATAAGAAGAATATAATAGTCACCCTAAAACTAGCACAAATAGATATCGTTTTCGTTTATTGTGTTAATGTCAGGAAGAAAACTTATTTCTATGGTAAACTTTGATAAATAGTTTTATTCCCCTCAAGAGAGGTTCCGTCGCCGCAGTCTAATTCCTTAGTCCAAGGATTTTGATCTGCTTTTTCCTCGGATTGAACCTGATTGCTTCCCATTTTTACAGGGGTTGTATGACCCCTACGGATTTAGTGCTTTTCCATGAATGACATAGTAATATAAAGGAATAACTTTCTTATTTTTTTTTTTTGCAAATTTTTATTTAGTTTTTAAAAAAACACAAATAAATTTACACAGTTTATATAGGATTTTATAAACATTAGTGGTTTAACATCACTATACACAAAAAGGTGACACTTCCTCCTCTTTTCTGCAACACTGCCAGCTCCTGATGATCTGTTGATTGTAACACGAAAGGCCTGGATCTATTATTCAACTCCCCCGTGGTTGTTTTGCATCCTGTATCGCTTGTTAGCGAATTTTCCATAACAGAGGTGAATGTCTCTTATCCTGGGTGGTTAACCCTCCGGGTTAAAACCCGAACAAAATCTTATTCACTGAGAGTTTACTTTAATCATTATTTTAGGGATAAAAGTATTCTTGTCCGGCAGAGAAAAGGTTACCGTGTAGCCCTAATGACCCTCGTGTAGTTAAGGATCCCATTAGAAATAAGTTACTTTGTCTCACTTTTTTTTGGCTTATCCTAGGCAATCTACATATAGACTGCTATGTATGATAATTATATGATTGTATTTATGTGTACCCGTACCTGAATAAACTTGTTTACTTACTTAATTTACATACTAGTCGACAAGCTTTAAATTCAATTAACCAATTACCTTGTGTATACATTTTCTTTTACTATACTCTGCCGATCGACACCATGCCCAGCCCTTCTAGGGTAGGGTAGGTGCCTGAGCCAGAGCTTGCAGCTCACAAGACTGTCATCCCCATTATCCCCCTTGGGGAGGGGATGTCAGACCAGAGAGGCCTAGCTTGTGGCTAGGCCTGGGGACAGTTGGTCCCAATGATGAGTGGGTACTTGTACCTCCTCCCATGGGAGACTTAGGTATCAGACACTCCCTAGACAGGGAGTCAAGGCCGGGCCACCACTTGGAAAAGGCCCGGGCCGGGAGAATACCGACGAATCTTTAATAATAATAATAATAATAATATACTCTGACTGCCTCTCATATTATTTGAATGTTGCTGTAATTTAGCCTGGGTGAATCTCATCTTATGGTGTCCCGTAGCTCGACTGGTAGCATGCTCAACTAACACACTGAGGTCCATGTTTCGATCCCCGGTACGGGTGGAAGCATTGAACGTGTTTCCTTAAGACACCTGCTGTCCCTGTTCATCTATCAGTAAAATTGGTTCCTGGGTGTTAGTCGACTGGTGTGGGTCGCACCCTTGGGACAAAATTGACCTAATTTGCCTGAAATGCTCTGCATAACAAGGGGCTTTCTATATAGCAGTATCTCATTGATGTCAGGTAGGCCTGTATATCTTGTATATGTACATGTAGAAATAAAGATTATTATTATCTTATTTTGGGAGATTTTAAGTGTACTTTTAATTTTGTTTAATACTAGGGCAGAGTGCTATGATGTACATGAGTGAAACGAAGACACACACAGTCAGAATGAACAGGTTACTGCGACACCATTTTCCTTGGTGACAAAGGGTTATCAAGTCTGTAGAAACTACACGGGAAGCGTGGGAAGATAAGGAGTGAGGACCGTAGGGGAGGTACGGGTGACTGTAGAAGTACGAGTGACTGTAGGAGAGGTACGAGTGACCTGGAATATCTTAGTGAAAAGTGTGTTGAGCGAGAGCTATTTAGCAAACTCTAGATTTCTTTATCAGAGTATGCAATACAGTCACAAACAGGCGATCTTGATAATTCAGAACAAGCCACATGGGGATGGAAATCTTTAGCTCTAGATCTTTCGCACTCTCGTGCGTTGTCAGGAGCTATGCAATGTTGCAAGACAGCAACAGACAGGAGGGAAAATTCTCTGAAGCAAGGAAGGATGTATAAGTGGCAACCCATGGGTTGCCACTTATACTAAAGATACTACAGATTTCCATCCCCATGTGGCTTATTCTGAATTATCAAAGTGTGATGATGTTTGTGGTGAAGATTAATGTTGATATGAATGCTTCTGGTCAGCATTAATCTTCGTAGTTTCGTTTACATGATATTTCGGTAGCAACTGTTTTTCTTATTATTAATTCTTAGTCTCTCCCTCTCTGTATATTATCACACATTTTACTTACTTCACGAGACATGATCTCGCTCTCTCTCGTTTCCATTACCTAACACTTGTCTACATTAAATTCCATTAGTCGTCTACCAGTTTGTTCAATTTATCCAAGTCATCTTGAAAAAGTTGCAGCCATAATTATTTATTTTACCTTAAAGTTTTTGTATCATCCAGAAACATTTTCAATATATTTTTTTTATTCCTTGGACGAGAATACGTTCCTAAACGCACGCTTCTGTCAGTACTATTACTGAGTTTTTCACCCCTTTCCCTTTCGTTATATTGCTCCTAAAGAAGCTTTTGCAGTCTGCAACACGAAAGGCCTAGAACAACTTCATTATTCTCCATCCCCCCTATGATTGTTGCGCATACATTGTACGTCTGTGTGTGTACTCACCGACTTGGTCTCACCTTTCTGTGGTTGCAGGAGTCGAGTCGCAGCTCCTGGCCCCGCCTCTCTGATGGTTGCTACTAGGTCCCATTCCCTCCCTGTTCTAAGTCTTGTGTATGTATGTGTAAGTGTGAGTGTGTATGTGATCACATGCTTGAGTTCATGTAGATGCATCATACATGGCTGGTTATTCTCACTGATGTTGAGGCAACAACATGACGGCTGAGGGAGTTGCCAACAGCGATGGGCTTTTTTTTTTTCTTGTATGTTAATCCACACGATCGATGGCAAGAATGGGGAGAGAAAGTGCAAAGGGTAAGACAGAGAAGCGAGAAAGGATGTGCGTTGACAGGAAAAGTGAGATAAAAAAAGTTTTAGTGGCCTGACCACTTGAGGTGGATTTTAAAGAAGTACTTTTTGTTATATAGTGACCATTGTGCAGAGAGATGCGTTAAGAATTGGCAATCATTAGTTAACATATTTTTTAGGATGTAACATAAAAAAAGGCAAGTTTCATTACTAATATAATGTTTCAACGATCCACGTTAAGTCATTATTTCTTAAATCTTATTGACTACACGAGGGTCATTAACTCATCTTTACTTATGCACCACAAGTAAAGTAAATTAAAGTAAACTCAATGTATATATCTTGGGAGAGACATATACTCACACCTCTGTGTACAGCACATACCATACAATCTTACATTCATTGACTGTATACACATGGATGAGCATCTTTGAGACTACAGTTAAGGTAAACAGAATATAATATAAAAAGCTAAATTATCATCCAGTGTTTTTGCAACTTGTGGAATAAATCACTGCGTTCGAAGGAGGAGCGAACATATGTTTTTTTACGTAACATGGAAGAAGTGTGGGAATCTCTGGGTCTGGCTGACAGAGGGCAGTAGTGGTACAGGTGACCTTGGCCAGACAGGGTTCAGTCATGCAGGTTTCTAAGGTAAACGCCCTGGATTATGAGGAATTTATTGAAGTGTTCGGCAACGTGATTGAGCATTGTCCCTTGTGTGCCGCCGCAGTGTGGAAACATCGACCGTTCAGCGACGTGAGGCACTTACACGAGGAGATCTGCAGATTTATTGATGATCTTCCCGTGGCAGGTAAGAGGCAGCTGCTTGCTAGGGACTCTGCTTTCCTGAGATAAATTAAGTACTCACGAAAACTTGTATATGATGAAAAAAATTACTAAAATATAAAGTACTTGAAATGCATATTGTCAACAGATTGTATGTTGGTACTGAATGAAAGTATATGAGTATGAGAGAGGGAGGGTATGGTATAGTATACACTATAGGGATTCCCTAGGGCCGGATGTTTTGGGGAGCATGTGAGTCTCTGTCTCCTTGGCCATGATTCGCTGCTGCTGCTGATGACGTCACATCTCCCGGGCCTTTATTGGCTACTAATGCTAAAGACGTCACATTGTCCATTCCTTGTTTGGATGCTGCTGTTGACTGAGGGCGTAGGATGTCATCAGTCTTAATTAGGTGCTGTTTATGACGTCTTATTACCCATGCTTTAATTGGCTGTACTGTATGTCCCTTGTAGGTTTAGCGCTTCTTTTTATAATTATAATAATAATAACTGGCTGCTATTCATGACGTCATAACTAATTCATTGATTGGCTGCAGTTAATGACTTCAGAAATAAAAATAATGTTTAAATATTCACGATAACAAATAATTATTAATGTAAATATATTAAAATGTTCCGTAAATTATAAAAGCCTTAATATAATTGCTACTCCGGCGCAATAATTCCCACTGCATGGGCGTGGTACCCTCAAAGGACCCCAGTGGAAATAAGTCACTTTGTCCGACTCTTCTGGGGATTATCCTAGGTAATTTACAGATATACTAATGTGCAGAATAACAACTGTGAAAAAATAGTGGAATTCCAAGCGCTTGATAAGGTGAGAAATCACGAAAGCGGTTGGAATTTCACTATTTTTTTCATAGTGATTGTTCTTCATATTGTGATATCACCTGTTTACTGTGACCTTATTGTACGTATGTTAATATACACAGGTACAGTTGTAATACGTACTAACACATCACTGCACCACGCAGAAACAAGATGTACAGAGATCGCAGTCAGCGTGGGTTCGAATCCTTCTGGCTGTGATCCGCCTCTGCTTGTTTCTGTTTGCTGCAGTGATATGTTAAAATGTATGATAATTGTACTTATGTGTACCTGTACCTAAATAAACTTGCCACTTAGTAGAGGGTGGAGTGATGCCAGTGTAGCGCTCTTGGTCTGAGGAACTAGAGCTATCCTCACCTTCCTTAGAACAAACCTAATGCTCTCTCTTTCCACGGGAGTTGTATTACCCATGAAATTAATAATAATAATAATAATAATAATAATAATAATAATAATATATTATTATTATTATTATTATTATTATTATTATAAAGATAGTAATAGTAATAATTAGTGTACTTTTGAAGGTAGGTTAAATAAGATTAGTCCTTAAAACCTGGCATATTTGTCTGAGATGTTTTGCTCGCCAGAGGCTTCATTACTAATCATTATATGTGATAAAGCCCCCTAGTGGGCGAAACGTCTTTCAGATAAAGGTACCCCGATGATGAACATGTGTTTCATTCACCAGTTGTCGGTATCATGAACAAGACATGTGCTAGCTGAGTATCATTGATGTCGAAACGTTTCACCTGATCTGCAGGCTTCTTCAGTCGAAAACAAAGGCGACAGGCATTGTAGATAACAAAACAATTTAGAGGTAAAGATGATTTGATCAGTTCGTCAGCCTTGAAGTAGTATATTCAACGATAAAAATACTCAACTGCTGCACATGCGTCTCATTTATTAACTTGTTAGTTTCATGTGTACCTTTGATCTAATTGGAACGACACTGAATCTTCGTGCAGGACGGGAAGGCATCCTCCGTTGTCACCCAGACCTGGCTGGGAGGCTGGCGAGGGCAGGCCAACTCACGAAGGAGTCCAAGAGGGAGCAAGAAGCCGCCGGTGTTACCAGCCTGACCCCAGAGGAGAGCCAACGCCTGGACAGCATGAACCACAGGTGAGGAAATACAGGAACGCTCTCGCTTGGTTTACAAGCTTTTTACCATACTTGTAAGACGCGGTATTCGTCCCGAATTGATGAAAGTCTCTGGTGGACGAAACGTCCTAACGAAATGCCGCAAATCGCATGTTGTGTCTTATTAACATTCTTGTCCACATATTGTACCAGTGATATGCAAGCGTCATCCAGTTAGTGATTGTCTTGAGAAAGCTGACTGTTCTTCAGTTTTCCTAACTGGTCAGGAATCCAGTAACAATTAATGGACACAGAGGATCGAGCCTCCACTACTACACAGGAGTTACACGCTTCATGAAATATAATAGAATCCAAACCGCATTAAAGTATGTTATTTGTTCCAGTTTCTGGATATTCACATTCCACTCCAGTTAAATTAATGCGCCTCCCACTTGACCCAAGGAATTGAAATGACCTTCCCATAAATCAATCCTGATTATTTCCCATTTCCCAGGCGCTGTATCGCTTCTGTGAATTTGTGATTATTTGCTCACTTTACTGCTCTAGGTGAATTAGAGAGGTTGATAGAATGTTGGCGCATTTATTCTGATGTATTCCACATACTGGTTAATTAGTGGCTTAGAAGCGGAGACCAAGAGCTGGAGCTCTAACACATCCAAAAATACACAGGCCAATTTAGAAATAGCTTTCCCATGGAATGATATTGGAAAGGCTAACATATTTTTTTTTTATTTTAACAGTTACCGCGAGAAGTTTGGCTTCCCGTTCGTGATCTGCGCCCGCAGGAACAAGAAGGAAGCCATCTTGGAGGGTCTCAGGACGCGCCTGAACAACTCTCTCGAAGCGGAGGTGGAGAAGGGCATCATGGAGGTGAAAAACATCTGTTATCTGCGCCTTTTGGACCTGGTGGACCACGAGGGTGTAGAGAGCAGACTGTGACTGGAGTAGACTGGGAAGGCCCTGTAGAACGCGCTGCTGATGGAGGCTGCTGAAGACCCCTGTGTTTTCGTACTAGTAGACACCATTGAAAATAAATGCACGCTAGAATCTCGCAGTGCAGCTGAGGATATCAGCACTAACACAGAGGATAACTAACAGAGTAGAGGATACTTACAATAATACTGAGGATACTTGCAATACCACTGAGAATGCATGCAGCACCATTAAGGATGCCTGTAACAATTGAGAATAGCTGTAATACTATTGTGGATACCTGCAGTACCACTGAGGCTTACTAATATAACCGAGATACCTGTGACACTTGAGAATAAATGCAATGTGGATACATACAGCACTATTGAAGTTAGCGAAGATTTTATTGAGTATGCCCGGTACATCACTGCGGATATCTGTAGCACCACTGAGGATATCAGTTTAACCCCAAATATGGGATTAAACTCTTACGCATATACACTGTTGTTATTCGTGTACACGCATCAAGCGAGATAAGCACATAATATATACCAAGTGTATTTAAGTAAAGAGGCAACGACTGCAAATATGATAATAAAAGTCACTTGAAACACACTGATACAAGCAAAAACGACCTAATCAATCCATTAATGAAACACAAAAATTTTTACTTATTATTGGTTCAGCTACTGAATAGAAAAAGCATAATGCAAATAATAATAAAATAATAATAATAATAATAATAATAATAATAATAATAATAATAATTATTATTATTATATTATTATTATTATTAAGAATAAAGTAATTCTACTACTACTAACAATAATAACAATGAAAATAATAATATTAAGAATAAAGTAATTCTACTAACACAATAATAATAATAACGGAACTAAAAAGAGTGAATATACACCGAGAAACAGACACTTCTACAAGTATCTACAATGATAGACACACACCTCAGGGTATATATACCACTGATAAATAATAAGCACTGTCTCTGCCAGGGTTTTTAACTCGATGATAACCTGTTCTGTGGCTTAGCACCTCCTGACCTATCCCGGCTAGATATTTACACCCCTTTTTTAAAACATAACATTGTATCCTAAGATATTCCACTTACTTTTGTCCTGAAGACACTTTCTTACTTATAAATATATCTCCAATACACATTTTTTTTTTTTTGCCTTAAGGAAAATGCATTAACGTATTTCAGCAACTTCTAATGCTCATTTTCAAACGTAGTAAGTAATGTGCACAGACCAAAATAAAATGGAATCACTTGACCTGTACTCACTGGAGCACAGGCGAGAGAGATACGTCATAATCTACACCTGGAAAATCCTATATGTACTCCTCCCAAGTCTGCAAACGGAAATCACTCCCTACGAAAGTAGGGAGTGATTTTCGTGTGCAGACGGCGTAACATAACCCCCAATGAAAAGTAGGGGTGTCGTGAGTCCACTAAGAGAAAACACGATTAGTGCCTGGGGCCCAAGACTGTTTAATAACCTCCCATCAGGCATAAGGGAAATTACCAATAGACCTTTGGTTGCCTTCAAGAGGGAGCTGGACAAATACCTAAAGTCAGTTCCAGATCAGCTGAGGTGTGGTTCGCACGTTGGACTATGTGCGGCTAGCAGTAACAGCCTGGTTGATCAACCCCTGATCCACCGGGAGGCCTGGTCAAGGATTGGGCCGCGGGGGGGGTGTTGGCCCCCTGAACACCCTCCAGGTAGATGTGTACATACATGATAAATTGTCAGCTAAAAATTTAATTGTATTAATTATTTAATAAGCCTAGACCTTTAAAGTATAATTAATCTGAAGTTAAATCTTTTTTATATTACGAGAAATTACAAAAAAATCCTGATGTGGATTTTATTTACATGACGACCAATTAAAAATTGAAAATCACAACTTGTGCGATAGTATCAAAATGCATTATTACGCAACAAATGAAAATAAGCACAATTATTTTAACTTTGAAAAAATTCAAGTAAATAATAAGTAAGTAAATTTTGAATTTGCGTGTGCAGTAAGACAACAATTGATTACATGCAAAACCTATGGAGTAAATTCCTCTTCAAGGGGGGCTCCTTGGCGTGGTGAAGAGGCTCTTGGTCTGAGGAATTAGACCTGTCGGTCTCCTTCCTCAGACCGAACCTAATTACCCCCCAATCCACCCTTCCCTATCCCATTCTCCTCATCCTCCCCTTTTTCCTTTCCTCCTCCTCCTCCCCACCCCTCCCTTTTGCCCTTCCTCTTTTTGGCCTTTGGGATTTTTCCCACAGGCGTGCTAGTTCCAAGGTAGGGGAAAGGGTACCGGGATCCATCCCATTCCGTTGAGGTTCTTGGCGGTGGCGTAGTTTGCCGTGGAATCTGGATCGCCTGGGGATGTCCCGATCCCTCTCTGGTATCCCGGAGAGTGGCTTTGGGTGTCTTTTGGGCGACGGGTGTATCTCTGGAAGCCACCTTTCAGATTCCGGGGGTGGTGGCCGAAGGAGGTATGCTTTGTGGCGGATATCCGGCCGCCCTCTCTTTTGTCCACCGAGGTAGCTCAGCAGATGTGAGGTTGCTATTCGGGATTGCTGGTTTACTGGCATGATGGGTAGGGTATGGCATGGGTTCCATGCTGCATCTACGCTACTTGCGGTGCTGAGGTCCTCTTGGGCGCGGAGGGAGATTTCTGGCCCTTTCATTCCTCCTAGGAACCATCCCTCCCCGGTCCCCCCTTTTTTTATTCTTTTTTTTATTTTTATTTTCTTTTCTTATTTCTTTTTTTTCTTAAAAACAAAAAGAAAGAAGTAACCTAACCATGGAGAACCCAATCCATGAACCTGCTACCCCCGGGCCCCTTCTTGATACCACACCCCGTTCTGACCCCGCCTCATCTTTGGACCACTCTTTGGACACTCCTCATGCCTCTGTACCTCTTGCCAATGCTGTTTCCTCACCCGCTTCAGGTACTGAGGTCTCGACTGACTCCTTCGATTTATCTGACCTCCGCTCTCCTTTGACTATTCTTCTGGCCTCTCCCTCTACAGTGCAGCAATTTTCGAATTGCCGGCCCATTCCACGTCGGACCAACTCTGGTCCCACGCCTAAACGCCAACGACAATTACCTGCTGATGATACTTCGCCACCTTCTCGTTCTTCTCAGAAAAGATCGACACGTCCTGCACTCCCTTTCCACGCTCAGTTTCAGACTGCACAATGGACTAAATTCTTCACTTTACGACCGATTTCCTCTACCGCCTATCTTTCTGACCACAGTATTGGCAAGGCACTCCTACGCCATGTTGGTAAAGATATTTCTTTTCATACTCTTAAGAGTGGTACGCGCATCATCACTGTACAGAATGCTACCCAAGAAAATGATCTTTCTCTTCTTTCCCATATAGATACTGTTCCTGTCACTATTGAAAAACATCATTCTCTCAATTCTTGTAGTGGTACCGTCATTCTGCCCCATATCATAGTTCAACAAAATTTCCAGACATGTGGCAATGACATTCTTGAACAGCTGGAACTCCAAGATCTCCCAATCCTCAAGGTAGACACTTATGTTCTTCCTGCCCGCAGGCGGAGACGATACCTTAGCAATGTGGCTCGTTTAACTTTTGACAGCCGTGAACTCCCATCCTCAGTTTATGTAGCAGGACATCGGTTACAAGTTCGAAAGGTGATCCCTACACTGCAACAGTGTAGAAATTGCTGGCGATTTGGCCAGCGAAATATTGCAGATCTATAGCCGAATGCCCAGTCTGTGGTGCCGATGACCATTCAAATAAGTCTTGCAATCGACCTCCCTCTTGCCTTAATTGTCATGAGGCTCACCCTTTGTACTCTCACAGTTGCCAAGTCTACTTAAATGAGCAGGAAATCCGTTACCTCAAAGAGGCAGAAGGTCTCCCTTATGCCATGGCAGTTTCTCATCTCCGCCTCCAAGGGAGACTACCTAGTGTTTCTTATTCCCGTGTTTCAAAACGTCCCCCCACTTCTGGGGTCCCATCTTCTGCAGCCTCCTCTGTGGCTACCTCTCCCATAGTCACTCCTGTATCTAATTCTTTTGCTGTCCTAGGCTCAGACGTCCCTACTTCAACGCCTCAGTCTGTTCTCACTTCTTCGTGTTCTCCCTCACAAGCCTCAGTATCGACGAGATCTCGTACGACACCTCCTCCCAATCGTCCCTCTACTTCTCAGAAGTCAAAAAAAGGTCCTTTAGCCCCTCCTTCCCTTCTTCCACCTCCTCATTTTACCTTCCCTGTCTCTGTACCGGGTTCTTCCCCTCTCACTGGCTCTGTTACAAGTGTAGAGGTTCACCCTCCTCCTCGTACTATACCTACCTCCCCTGTTCCCTCCCAAGTTTCTTCCTCTTCTACCACCTCCCAGGTTTCTGCCTCTTCTGTCCCCTTCCACACTTCTTCTCCAGTTCCCTCCACCCTTTCGCCCCCCCCTACCTTGGTACAGTCCATTACAGTTCCAATCTTTACTCATCCTCCCCCTACCATCTCCAATATTGTCTCCCATACGACGTCTCTGAATTCCGAAACACTTGAAGCAACCTCTGAATATATTGCAGAGACCAAATCATCAATGGACACTGATCCACCCTCGGTTCCTTCTCTCTCCTCTCCTCCATCTGCTCAACTCCTTTCTTCACAGCGCACCGTTCCTTCGCTGCTTGAACGTTTTCCGCTGCCTCCGCATGTGGACTTTTCTAACCCCTCTAGTCCGTAGGAACCCTTACCTGTGGATTTCAAGTATCTTTATCATTGCCAATCATGGCCTATTTACAGTGGAATATACACGGCCTCAGGGGTAATTGGGGTAAGCTTCAGATGTTACTCTCCCAATTTTCCCCTGTTGGTGTTTGCTTACAGGAACCAAAATTACACTCTGCTGTTATCTCTCCCATCTCAGGCTATATTTTATTGTATTCTTCAGATCCTTTTCTTGATGGAACCTTTAATGAAAGTGCCCTTCTTCTACGCACTGATATTCCGTACCATCAGCTATTTGTTCTTACTTCGCTGCATTACACAGCAGCCCGTATCCACTTGCATAGGTGGTTTATGCTCTGTTCTTTATATCTCTCTCCTTCTCGGGCATTATCTATTCCGGATATTGCCTTTCTAGTTTCGTCATTACCACCACCGATTTTGTTACTTGGCGATTTTAATGCCCATCATTTCCTCTGGGGGGTCTCACTGTGATTCCCGTGGCATTCAGTTAGAGGCTTTTCTTGCCACCCACCCCCTCCATGTTTTAAATATGGGTACTCACACCCATTTTGATCCTTGGACTCACACTCTCTCTTGCATCGATCTCTCAGTCTGCTCTTCCTCCACCGCATTAGACTTCACCTGGTCTGTTCTCCCGGATTTACATGACAGTGATCATTTCCCAATCATTCTTACTTCCCCTTCATATTCACCACCTCTTCGTATCCCACGCTGGCAATTTGATCAGACAAATTGGAACCTTTACTCACAACTAACTGTTTTTAGAGAGGTTCCTTCTTCGTCCTCCATTGATGAGCTTTTACACCTCTTCTCGTCCTCCGTTTTAACCGCAGCTTCTCATTCTATACCCCAAACTTCGGGCAGGCATTCTCAGAAATGCGTGCCTTGGTGATCTCCTGCCTGTGCTCGTGCAGTACGTTTGAAATGCGCTGCATGGGGCAGGTACCGGTACAATAGAACCACGGAGAGACTTCTTGATTTTAAGCAGAAGCGTGCGATCACTCGCCGTGTCATCCATGACACTAAACGCACTTGCTGGCGAGATTATGTCTCCACCATCACCTCTGCTTCCTCTATGAGTGCAGTCTGGAAAAAAGTACGAAAACTCAGTGGTAAATATTCTCCTGACCCGGCTCCTGTTCTGTGGGTTGCCGGTGTTGATATAGCAAACCCACTAGATGTTGCCAATGAAATCGGCAATCATCTGGTCTGTATTTCTCAGGGGCTCCATCTATGCCTCTCATTTCTTTCCTCAAAGTCTGCCAGAGAGTTAGCACCCTTGGACTTTCCTTCTCTCAGAGAAGAACAGTATAATGTGCCTTTTACACTTCAAGAACTGGAGGCAACACTCTCAGCTTGCCGATCATCGGTAGCTGGGCCCGACGACATTCATATTCATATGCTACAACATTTACATCAGTCAGCCCTTGCAGTCCTATTACGCCTTTTCAATCTTATTTGGTCACAAGGAGTTCTTCCACTGCTGTGGAAATCTGCCACTGTTCTCCCTTTCCGCAAACCAGGCACTACGGGACATGAAGCCTCCCACTATCGTCCCATTGCTCTTACCAGTGCAGTTTGCAAAGTGACGGAACGCCTGGTAAATAGACGTTTAGTGTGGTATTTAGAGACACACAACAGTCTCTCCACTCGTCAATATGGCTTTCGTAAGGGATGTTCTACCATAGACCCAATACTACGCTTGGATACATATCTTCGTAATGCCTTTGCGAATAACCACTCAGTTACTGCCATATTTTTTGACCTTGAGAAGGCATATGACACAACTTGGAGGTATAATATTTTGGCCCAAGCCCACTCCCTAGGCCTCCGAGGCAATCTACCATCCTTCCTTAAGAACTTTTTAACTGATAGACATTTCCGTGTTCGGGTTAATAATGTGCTCTCCCCGGACTTTATCCAAGCTGAAGGTGTCCCCCAGGGATGTGTTCTGAGCACAACACTTTTTCTCCTTGCTATTAATGATTTGGCCTCTAGTCTTCCATCAAATATTTGGTCATCACTCTATGTTGATGACTTCGCTATTGCCTGTGCAGGCGCTGACTGTCACCTCATTACAGTTTCTCTCCAGCATGCAGTCAACTGTGTTTCCAATTGGGCCACCACACATGGGTTTAAATTTTCCAGCACTAAAACCCACCAAATTACTTTCACTAGACGCTCTGTCATCTCCGATCATCCTTTGTACCTCTATGGCTCCCGTATCCCTGAACGTGATACAGTCAAGTTTCTGGGCCTCCTCTTTGACCGTAGGTTATCCTGGAAACCTCACATTACCTCTATGAAGGCAACTTGTCACAGCCGGCTGAAGCTTCTTAGAACCCTTGCTCATCTTTCATGGGGAGCTGATCGTCGAACATTCGCCTACATTCCACCCTCATTTTATCGAAACTTGATTATGGTGACCAGATCTATTCAGCGGCATCTCCTGCTACTCTCTCTAGCCTTAACCCCATTCATCACCAAGGATTACGTTTATGCCTTGGTGCTTTTCGCTCTTTCCCTGTTGAGAGCCTCTATGCAGAAGCGAACGTTCCATCCTTATCCAATCACCGTGATGCCCATTGCCTTCGCTACTATGTACGCTCTCATGATCTCCGCAATCCTTCCATTTATAGAATGGTCACTGATATTAGTAGACATTATTTGTTCGCCGCCCCTGTTTACTCCGTCCCTTCTCTCTTCGCCTACATTCGCTCTTGTCTTCTCTTCAATTACCACCTTTCTATGTTCATGTAGCATCTCACTTTTCCCTACCCCCCTGGGAAGTTCCAGCTGTTCGAGTCTGTTCTTTCTCTCTCCCTTGCTCGAAAGCCCAACTGTCTACGGTCGCTTCCCACTCTCTTTTTCTTGACCACTTCCACTCTCATTATCATGCCATTGCAGTGTACACAGATGGCTCTAAGTCTTCTGACGGTGTAGGATTCGCAGCAATGTTTCCGGACAATGTTGTACGAGATCATTTACTATCTTCGGCTAGTATTTTTACTGCTGAATTGTATGTCATTCTTGCAGCACTTATCCGTATTGCATCTATGCCTGTGTCATCATTTGTGGTTGTCTCAGACTCTCTTAGTGCTTTACAGGCTATACAGAAATTTGATACACCTCACCCCTTAGTCCTCCGTATCCAACTTTGGCTACACCGCATCTTTACCAAGCATAAAGATATGGTTTTTTGTTGGGCCCCTGGTCATGTTGACGTACAGGGCAACGAACAGGCAGACACTGCTGCACGGTCAGCAGTACATGACCTACCAGTTTCATATAGAGGTATCCCATTTACGGACTATTTTGCTGCAATAGCTACCCACCTTCACACCCGTTGGCAACAACGTTGGTCTACTATGCTCGGTAACAAACTTCAATCTGTTAAACCGAGTATAGGTTACTGGCCGTCTTCTTGTCACCAGTGTCGAGGTTGGGAGACTACACTCTCCCGTCTTCGCATTGGCCATACCGTCTTACTCATGGATATCTCATGGAGAGGTGCCCTGCTCCTCTCTCTGAGAATTGTCAGGTTCCATTATCAGTCAGCCACATTCTGTTAGACTTTATCAACGAGCACGCAGAATTTACCTCCGTCGTCGTCTTCGCTCCGCTGCTCTCTCTTTACCTTCCCTTCTCGCTGATGGACCCACCTTTCATCCGAACTCTCTCATTGACTTTTTGACAACAACTGACTTTACAAACTCTGATACCTTCAGCCCTTTCTACCTCAATCTCTTGCTACCCTCTACCCCCGTACTATCCCCTGCCCCGCTGTTTTCTGTAACCTACTGATCATCCCTCCCCCTTCCTGCCGCCCAATACCCTCGCTTCCTTCCCTATCCTGCAGCGCTGTATAGCCCTTGTGGCTTAGCGCTTCTTTTTGATTATAATAATAATAATAATATGGAGTAAATTTATCTATATACAAATACAATATGTAATTTGAAAATCCAGCAGAATAGTGAACTAGTTAATCACTGCTGATATTGTTTTAGTCATCTTTATTATGGAAACTGTGAAGATGACAGCATCAGCTGTCAGACTTATGCCAGTAATTATTGTTTTGTGTTATAATTTAACTGAGATAGTTGATTGAAACAGATACACGCAATATTTTGCTGTTGCTATAAAAGTGTATTTTAAATAGTTAAGTAAATTAAAACTGGATAATTCAAATCACTCAATGAATGTCACACTGACTTTTTGTCAGGATAGGACTTCCAGCAGGGCTGTAAGTTCTAACACATTTGCATACCAACAACATTTCTCTAATACATAGTACTACTGTTAGTATTAGGTAGATAGGAACAGATGTTATGTAGGGAAAACTTCCTACATAATTTCCAGGTCCGGGGATAGAACCATGATTTTTTATGGTTGTGAACCGATGAGTTTCTCCACTGAACCACTCTCCACTCCTGTACGTACATATGGTTTTCACAGTTGTGATTGCACCTGCCAGTTTTCATTCCACTCCTCGTAAGTTCTAACCTCTTCTTCTTGACCAGAATTACTGCCTGGAGAAACGAGAGAAGCATGTTACCAGTTATTGATAAAATCCTTGGTACCAATCATATCACTAGTGACCCAACACATCGCCCGACCTACACCAAGTTATGATTTAGAACTCCCGAACTCTCACCAACAGTAACATATGACTACTCTCACCTCTCTCTAGTAACAGCTGGTTGAGGATACGCAAAGTGATGAAGACGTAAATAGAGACGACCACAACTAATATGAAGAACAGTACAACACCAGCCAGAAACAGAGGATGGTAAGCTGACTGTGGTGGGCGTGTTGATGTTGATGGTGGTGTTGAGACTCTTGTATCCACTGTTGGTGGTGTTGAGACTGTTGTATCCAATGATGGTAGTGTTGAGACTGTTGTATCCACTGGGAAGTAGAAGGTATATATGTCCAATGCTAAAATTTCAAATGCACTTCAAAAATAAAATAATGTGATTGATGAATACTATTACTATAATAATAATTATTGCAATAATTATTATTACTAGAAACATTTTACCAATTTTATTATTAATAATTTTATTAGTGTTACCAGTTTTAGTTGTAATAATAATAATAATAATATTAATATAATAATATTAATGATGATATATAATTATTATTATTATTATTCCTAGATGTGATTCACATTTCGGACTTCACATCATCTAATAAGGAAGTATTTATACCGGACTCCTCACTAACTCAATAACTTCCTGGCAGCTGAAGCATGTTCTAGGTATATTCCCCTAAGAAAGAAGAAGAGCAGGAGTAAACCGGAGATAGAAAGACGCTCCCTCTACAGAAGACGACGAAGAGTCACTGAGCTCCTCAGGAGTGCTAGAATATCTGATACACGAAAGGAGGCGCTGTTCAGGGAAGTGGAAACTATAGAACTTAAGTTAAATGACTCTTACAGGAACTAGGAGAGACAGGAAGAGCTTAAAGCTATTAGTGAAATTGAAAGAAATTCAAAATATTTCTTTTCATATGCCAAAAACAAGGCAAATACCACTGTGATCTGGTATTGGGCCCTTGCTCAGACAGGATAGGACTTACACAGATGACAACAAGGAAATGAGTGAAATATTGAAATCCCAGTACGACTCTGTTTAGTGAACCACTAATCAGTCTGAGGATCGACGACCCAAATGATTTCTTCATGAATGAGTCTCAAAACTCCATAAATGTATCCCAGATTTCCGACATTACCCTAACTCCGATAGACTTCGAAAAAGCCATTGACAACATGCCCATGCACTCAGCCCCGGGCCCAGACTCGTGGAACTCTGTATTCATTAAGAACTGCAAGAAAGCCCTCTTGCGTGCCCTAAGTACACTATGGAGGAGGAGCTTGGACATGGGTGAAATTACACAGTCACTTAAAACAACGGATATAGCCCCACTCCATAAAGGTGGCAGCAAAGCATTAGCTTAGAACTATAGACCAATAGCTCTGACGTCCCACATCATAAAAATCTTTGAAAGAGTGCTAAGAAGCAGGATTGCAAATCACCTGGATTCCCAAAACCTGCACAATCCAGGGCAACATGGGTTCAGGGCAGGTCGCTCCTGCCTCTCACAACTACTGGATCACTATGATATGGCACTGGATGCACTGGAAGAAAATCAGAATGCAGATGTAATATACACAGACTTTGCAAAAGTATTTGACAAATGCGATCATGGCGTAATAGCCTATAAAATACATGCTAAAGGAATAACTGGGAAAGTGGGGAGATGGATCTTCACCACAGCACCGTATCATCCTTTGAGGATGATACTAGGATCTGCATGAGGCTGTCATCTGGTGAGGACGCGGTTAACCTCCAAGAAGATATAAACAAAGTTTTCCAGTGGGCAACGGTAAACAATATGATGTTCAATGAGGACAAATTCCAACTACTCCGTTATGGAAAACTGGAGGAGATAATAACTAGAACAGAGTATACTACAGACTCTGGCCATACAATAGAGCGGAAAAATAATGTAAGGGACCTGGGAGTAGTAATGTCTGAGGATCTCACTTTCAAGGATCACAACAGTGCCACGATCACAAGTGCAAAGAAAATGATAGGAGGGATAATGAGAACGTTCAAAACGAGAGATGCCAAGCCAATGATGATCCTTTTCAAATCACTTGTTCTCTCTAGGCTGGAATACTGCTGTACACTAACATCTCCATTCAAAGCAGGTGAAATTGCAGATCTAGAGTGTACAGAGATCCTTTACTGCAGGTATAAGTTCTGTCAAGCACTTTAACTACTGGGAACACTTGGAAGCACTTGACTTGTACTCGCTGGAACGCAGGAGGGAGAGATATATCATAATCTACACTTGGAAAATCCTGGAAGGAATGGTCTCAAATCTGCACACAGAAATCACTCCCTACGAAAGTAAGAGACTGGGAAGGCGATGCAAAATGCCCCCAATTAAAAGTAGGGGCGCCATTGGTACACTAAGGGAAAACATCATAAGTGTCCAGGGCCCAAGACTGTTCAACAGCCTCCCATCAAGCATTAGGGGAATTACCAATAAGCCCCTGGCTGCCTTCAAGAGTGAGCTGGACAGATACCTAAAGTCAGTGCCGGATCAGCCAGGCTGTGGCTCGTACGTTGGACTGCGTGCGGCCAGCAGTAACAGCCTGGTTGATCGGGCCCTGATCCACCGGGAGTCCTGGTCATGGACCGGGCCGCGGGGGCGTTGATCCCCAGAATAACCTTCCACAGCCACACTCAAAAGTGCTCAAGGGTTTAATTAATCACAAAATTATTAAGTGAAAAAAAGGTAATCCCAAAAAATAGGAATTTTAGTAAAATCTTATTAAGCACAGTCTGTATACAACGACTTGTGCTTGTAACATGCTTAATTATTTTTAATTTAATTATTTAAAATTAAATATTTTGCGTTTTTATGCTTCTATTTTATGTACTCGCGTAAATGCGAGTACATAAAATGTACTCGCATTTGTACTCGTTTGTGTACTCACCTATATGTCGTTGCAGGGGGTCAAGTGTACTCACCTATATGTACTCACCTATATGTGGTTGCAGGGGTCGATTCATAGCTCCTGGCCCCGCCTCTTCACTGGTCGATACTAATTCACTCTCTCCCTGCTCCATGATCTTTGTCATACCTCTTCTTAAAGTTATTTATGGAACTTGCTTCCACTACTTCACTCTCCAGATTATTCCAGTTCCTGAAAACTCTAAGACTAAAGAAATACTTCCTAACATCCCTATAACTCATCTGAGTTTTCAGCTTCCAATTGTGTCCCCTTGTTTCTGTATCCCATCTCTGAAACATTCGATCCTTGTCCACCTCGTCAATGCCTCTCAGTATTTTATACGTTGTTATCATGTCCCCTCTATCCTCTAGTGTCATCAGGTTGAGTTCCCTTAACCTCTCCTCATAAGACATACCCCTCAGTTCCGGGACTAATCGTGTTGCAAATTTTTGCACTTTCTCCAATTTCGTGACGTGTTTGACTAAGTGAGGGTTCCATACTGGTGCTGCATATTCCGGTATAGGCCTTACGTACACGGTGTACAATGTCGTGAATGTCTCCTTACTCAGATGTCTCTCTTTCCTTCCACTGGTTTTGTCTTGCTTTCACTTTCAGTTGTTCCCTTTCCTTTCGGATTCTGTCTCGATTGAGGAACACTTTTTGATACTCTGGAGAGTCCTTTAACAGTGGTTTCTGTTGTAGTATCCTGTTCTGTACCACATCTATCTTGAATGTCAATCTAATTGGTCGAATTTTTTCCCTGGAATACCCCTCAAGTCTGTGAAAATTTTCTTCCTGAGACATGTCCCTCTCTCCTGTTATTGCAATAATGTTCTTAATCTCTCTTTCCTCCCAATGCTTTCTTTAATCATAGGTCTGACCTTCAGCCTCCTGAAGCCCATGAATAATTATTGAACTTTCCCTCTCCTCTTCCCATTTCTTTTCCCTCTGTATCTCTGGATCTGATTTAAGCATCTCCTTTGCTGTTTCCCTAATCATCTCCCAGACACCTTGATGGCCTGATATTACTGCTGCAAAAAATTGCTTAGCTCCATCCCCTCCATCAGTCTCCTCGCTACCTGCTGTTCCCATTTCAGTCATCTTGCTTCTTTCGGACCTCATCTTTAGATCCTGCTTCAGCACATCCATTTATTCCTCCAGTCTCTGTATCTTTGCCTCAGCTACTACAGCTCGTGATTCCCACTTCTTGCTCTCTGCAGATATTTGCTCTAACATGTTATTGCAAAACTCGCTTAACCTTTTCTCCCATTGTTGTTCCAGTTTGTTCTTGAGCCGTTCTACCCATTCTTCCTTTTCCGGCCAGCCATCATCGGTTCCCTCGTCTTTACGTCCTCCCTTTTGAGATCCCATTTTGTTTATATCCTGTTGGGATATTCTAGCTGCTTCAGCTTATCGTAAAAATGTGTGTGTGGTGGGGGGATTTATGAGCTAATGTGTTAGGTTAGGTTTGTCTTGTGTATACGTGTATATATATATATATATATATATATATATATATATATATATATATATATATATATATATATATATATATATATATATATTATTTTTTTTCACACTGGCGATTCCCACCAAGGCAGGGTGGCCCGAAAAAGAAAAACTTTCACCATCATTCACTCCATCACTGTCTTGCCAGAAGGGTGCTTTACACTACAGTTTTTAAACTGCAACATTAACACCCTCCTTCAGAGTGCAGGCACTGTACTTCCCATCTCCAGGACTCAAGTCCGGCCTGCCGGTTTCCCTGAATCCCTTCATAAATGTTACTTTGCTCACACTCCAACAGCACGTCAAGTATTAAAAACCATTTGTCTCCATTCACTCCTATCAAACACGCTCACGCATGCCTGCTGGAAGTCCAAGCCCCTCGCACACAAAACCTCCTTTACCCCCTCCCTCCAACCTTTCCTAGGCCGACCCTACCCCGCCTTCCTTCCACTACAGACTGATACACTCTTGAAGTCATTCTGTTTCGCTCCAATCTCTCTACATGTCCGAACCACCTCAACAACCCTTCCTCAGCCCTCTGGACAACAGTTTGGGTAATCCCGCACCTCCTCCTAACTTCCAAACTACGAATTCTCTGCATTATATTCACACCACACATTGCCCTCAAACATGACATCTCCACTGCCTCCAGCCTTCTCCTCGCTGCAACATTCATCACCCACGCTTCACACCCATATAAGAGCGTTGGTAAAAACTATACTCTCATACATTCCCCTCTTTGCCTCCAAGGACAAAGTTCTTTGTCTCCACAGACTCCTAAGTGCACCACTCACTCTTTTTCCCTCATCAATTCTATGATTCACCTCATCTTTCATAGACCCATCCGCTGACACGTCCACTCCCAAATATCTGAATACGTTCACCTCCTCAATACTCTCTCCCTCCAATCTGATATCCAATCTTTCATCACCTAATCTTTTTGTTATCCTCATAACCTTACTCTTTCCTGTATTCACCTTTAATTTTCTTCTTTTGCACACCCTACCAAATTCATCCACCAATCTCTGCAACTTCTCTTCAGAATCTCCCAAGAGCACAGTGTCATCAGCAAAGAGCAACTGTGACAACTCCACTTTGTGTGTGATTCTTTATCTTTTAACTCCACGCCTCTTGCCAAGACCCTCGCATTTACTTCTCTTACAACCCCATCTATAAATATATTAAAGATATATATATATATATATATATATATATATATATATATATATGTGTGTGTGTGTGTGTGTGTGTGTGTGTGTGTGTGTGTGTGTGTGTGTGTGTGTGTGTGTGTGTGTGTGTGTGTGTGTGTGTGTGTGTGTATGTGTGTATGTATATGTGTGTATGTGTATGTGTGTATGTGTGTGTGCGCGTGTGCGTGCGCATGCGCTTTTGTCTTAGTCTTAAAAAAATGGGGGGGTCATATATCACACTAGGCTACGCTACTCTTTTGAAGATTATAGAATTATTTCACATTCAATTCCATATTAATGTATACTAATATATACTGCAATGATATTTACTGTGTACACGTGTGTTTGTGTGTTTACTAGCTTGTCATTATTTGAAAAAGAGGGGGGGGACGTTAACACACTATTGTTGTTGTTGTTCTTGGTTCACTGGTACTCTCCCGGCCCGGATTTCTGTTGTTCTTGGTTCACCGGTACTCTCCCGACCCGGATTTCTGTTGTTCTTGGTTCACCGGTACTCTCCCGACCCGGATCTTTGTTGATCATGGTTCACCAGTACTCTCCCGGCCAGAATCTCTGTTGTTCATGGTTCACCGGTACTCTCTGGGCCCGGATCTTTGTTGTTCTTGGTTCACCGGTACTCTCTGGGCCCGGATCTTTGTTGTTCTTGGTTCACCGGTACTCTCCCGGCCCGGATCTTTGTTGTTCTTGGTTCACTGGCACTCTCCCGGCCTGGATCTTTGTTGTTCTTGGTTCACTGGCACTCTCCGGCCTGGATCTTTGTTGTTCTTGGTTCACTGGTACTCTCCCGGCCCGGATCTTTGTTGTTCTTGGTTCACCGGTGCTCTCCCGACCCGGATCTTTGTTGTTCTTGGTTCACCGGTACTCTCCCGGCCCGGATCTTTGTTGTTCATGGTTCACCGGTACTCTCCCGGCCCGGATCTTTGTTGTTCTTGGTTCACTGGTACTCTCCCGGCCCGGATCTTTGTTGTTCTTGGTTCACCGGTACTCTCCCGGCCCGGATCTTTGTTGTTCTTGGTTCACCGGTACTCTCCCGGCCCAGATTTTTGTTGTTCTTGGTTCACCGGTACTCTCCCGGCCCGGATCTTTGTTGTTCTTGCTTAACTGGTACTCTCCCGGCCTGGTTCTTTGTTCTTGGTTCACCGGTACTCTCCCGGCCCAGGCTACGCTACTCTTTTGAAGATTATAAAATTATTTCTCACTCAATTCCTTATTAATATATACTAATATTTACTATAATAATAATTACTGGCGAACACGTGTGTTTGTATGTACGTACTTGTTTACTAGCTTGTTGCTGTCAGGGGGCGGGGTCACTAGACTACACAACTCTTTTGAAGATATTTAGATAATTTACTAAATATTTTCAGGTTTACCCCTATCTGTCTCCTGGCACTGAAAGTTAGGGAGAGAGTGATGGCATAACATACAACCAGCAGGGCCAGACACTGACACTTTAGACACTAACCAAAAACTAATCACACATAGACAAGTAATGTTGTCTGCACAACAATGGAGGTTCCTGGTGGTGGCTGCTATCAACTCCTTCACTTTGTAACTCCCTCACTAACTTTATCATGCATTCAAGTTTTTATTTGATTTTTTTTAAGACTTGGTATTCACTTTTTTCCTTAGTATAGTATTATTGTCATAACAAATCTGATGATATTAACTACATTCACAACACCAACAGCTGGGGATTGACTAATTTTTTCTTACTTTCATTATTTACTTAATCACTCGTTTATGAACTTATTACTACACTGCTGTTATAACCCACCAATATTTGTATTTATTATTACTTGAGACCACAGCCTTGACCCAATTAACTATGATTGGATATTTTGTGTCAACACTGCAGCCAGCAGCGTCATCAGCTGACTGCTACCCTCCCTCACTCAACATTCATTCAAATTTAAATTGTAAAATTCTTGATATTATCACATTATTCGCACTATTGAAAATTGTTACACTCTTGTAGGTATGTTCACTGATTCACTCACATACGATGACCGCTAATAATATCTTAGGACAGCCACTAGAACGATAAATCCTGTGTGTGTGTGTGTGTGTGTGTGTGTGTGTGTGTGTGTGTGTGTGTGTGTGTGTGTGTGTGTGTGTGTGTGTGTGTGTGTGTGTGTGTGTGTGTGTGTGAGCGTGACAACAAACCTCACCTGTGGTGTTATCAGTCGTGCAGTTGGTCCACTGTACAGTGTTGTTGTAGCTCGTGAGGTAAAGTGTTTGGTGGAATATAGTGAACTTTTTGCTACAGTTGTTACCCAGCTCCGGGACCAACACGGTGATAATTGTGAAGTTTTTATCATCAACCTGCAATCGTATATTATTTTATTTAAAAATAAATTATGCATTATTTATTTTGTTAATATGGTAAAATTAATGTTCAGAAAAAAAAGAAGCAGCCCGGAAAAAAAAGAAATAAAAAATAAGTTGAAAATATGGATGGGAAAATGGCAAAAAGAAATAAATCGAAGGAATATTATCGAAGCGTAAATGATATTTTTCTTCATATATAAATACACAACATAATTAAACATTATTCATCATGACAACAAACATTTTCTACATTTAACTGTTAAAACTACAACATAAAAACTATGTACTGACTGAGAGAGTTATAATAAAGTTGTGCCAGACGTCTGGGATGTTAAAGTGAACTGTACACATAATATTATATGTTCCTTGTGGAGTAAAATATGCCACGTCTAGGAGTGCAAGTGTTGTCAGAGACTTGACCCAACTCTGGTGGTTGTTGTTGTTGTTAGTGATGCGTATTGTCTTCCCAACTTCTGAAAGGTTCTCTGTGATACATCCTGCAAAAAAAAAAAAAGTTGATGGTAAAATTAACGAAAAAGTGAATTGTTAACTGAAAATTATTATTTTGTGAACTTCGTGGCATGTTTAACACTTTTGCTGAGATTATTATTATTATTATTACTATTTTATTACTTTTATTAGGGGTTATTATTCATTTTAGTATTATTTTTACTATCATTATTATTATTATTATTTTTAGTATTATTTTAATATTACTATTCTTATTATTTTATAATAATAATTATTATCCATTTTATTATTATTGTTATCATTATTATTGTTTTACTATTATTATTGTAATAAATAATGTTATTGTTAGTTAGTTAGTTAAAGATTAGCCGGTATTCTCCCGGCCCGGGCCTTTTCCAAGTGGTGGCCCGGCCTTGGCTCCCTCTTTAGGGAGTGTCTGAGACCTAAGTCTCCCATGGGAGGAGGCACAATTACCTCCTCATCTTTGGGACCAACTGTCCCCAGGCCTAGCCACAAGCTAGGCCTCTCTGGTCTGCCATCCTCGCCCCAAGGGGACAAATGGGAATGACAGTCTTGTGAGCTAAAGGCTCGGACTCAGGCACCTACCCTACCCTAGAAGGGTTAGGCATGGTGTCGATCATGTTATTGTTGATATTATTATTATTATCATCATCACGATTTTATTACTAATTATTATTTAAAATATTATTATTATTATTTTTATTATTATTATTATTATTATTATTATTATTATTATTATTATTATTATTATTACTATTATTATTATTTTATTATTATTATTATTATTGATTTTATTATTATCATCATTTTTATTAATATTATTTTGACTAGCTTCCAAATTCCAGTGTAACTATCATAATTTGTAATAAAAAAAATCGTCTTACTTAAGAGACTTAGAGACAACAAAGTAACATACAATAGTGTACATTAATTCAGTGTACGACGCAGGTAACCTTAATTTACCTGTCAGATTACTCGGCTCATCACAGCCCAACTGAGTTTTATCAGGAGGAAGTAGGTGTATGGGTAGTTCTCCATGCCACTGTTCAACTAAATTTAAATAGGTACCATAGTGTTTGTAAACTGTTGGATGTGGCAGTATACCTGAGATAATACGGGACTTTGAAAGTAGCTGGCGTAAGATAACAGGTTTTAAGCTCTGAATTGAACATTAAAATAATACTACAGTTTCCCCTTAAAGAAAAAACAGAGCAGTATATAAATAGGTGAGGATATGGTATGATAAACAGTGTGAGTGTCTGACGTCAAGGGATCTCTGCTTCACTACAATGCCACAGCAATATTTAACTTAACCTAGTCCAACCTACTGTAATCTAACCTAACCCAACTAAACCTAACCTAACCTAATCCAACCTAGCCTAATATAACCTAATTTAACCCACCCTGACTTAGAAACGGGCTGGTAATAGTATGCAAAAGTATGACAGTTATGAGAAGGATGTGTTGAGTTCTGAACTAGGATGTGAAAAAAGATTTCAGAGCATTATAGATGAGTGGAAGAGGCTGACCTGAAGGATTTACTATGTAGTGTGGACACATAAAGCTATGCACGCGAACTGATATATAGTCATATATAAGTAACCCCATTGCTTTCCTAACAAACCACTGATAGCTTAGTCATGCACTCGACGCGGATAAAGGCTCAGGGAACTCTATAGTCATGAAAAATGTTAAAAGTGAGATTTTATCACAAGAGTTAACATGCTATTTAGGCAACATGTAGACTCAGGCATCATTTCAAAATCTTCACGAATATGATCTTTAAGTAACTGAAGAAAAAACTTAAACTTGGAAGTCTCGCTGTAGTTAATGAGACAAGCTGTAAGCACTAACAGCTTCATTAACCAGGATGTCAACCAGGATGTCAACCAGGAGGCCTGGTCGAAGAATGGGACAAAGAGATCGATGAGCCAGAAACCAACTGCAGGGCACCGACCATCTTTGATATTTTGTGTTTCATATAGATTTTTGTGTTGCTCAGGAAAATAACACAAAGAGATGCGATAGTTTTCAATTTTAGAAATAATGTATTTGTATAAGTAATGACAGATACTTGCTTGTTAATATTAAAAAAACACAAAACGTCTCTTTTTACAGCATTAATTAACGCATTTGATGAATAAAACACATGTGCAACACTTTGGTATGTATTTGCCGAAACGTTTCGCCCACATACAACAACCTACTTCGATAGGCGAAACTGAAGGAGGTGGTCGGTCCCTCATCCTCAGGCTGAAGGACTGATCACTTATCGAGATTAAGGGACTGATCGCCTCACAATTACTCCTTATACTGTCTTCATTATTATATTCGCCTTTATCTGACTGAAGAAGCTTGCTACTCGAGCGAAGCGTTTCGGCGATAAAGATTCTAAAGTGTTGCACATGTGTCTTATTCATCATGTCGATACTTCGCATTATCAACAAGTGTTTATAAACTTTTCAAACAAAGATTGTCCATGACGTGAAAGTAAATAAAGCAGGGTGGTATATCCTGTGGAGGATATAGAAATGTTGAAGAGAAGGATTCACGAGCTGCAAAATGAGCATTTCGATGCGGTGAGTGTGCAGGGGGGTTGAGGAGGTGCTTTGGGGTGATTGACCATTGGCGTGTGTCTTACGGGGACTGCAGAGCCGACGGAAAGCCCCTGAGGTTGGAAGGTTAGTCATCCACTCGGAAGTGGGGGGCTATTGTGAGGGGGCAAGTGTTGCGGACGACAGAGGTGATGAGTGGTTATGCGGAGGCATGGTATGAGCAGTATTTGGGGAGTAGTGTAGTGGGAGGAGAGGCTTTACGTAGCGTCTGCGAGCTAGTGCCATGTTCATTGGGGAGTAGTGATCGGGTAACGCTGGGTGGGGAGATAGATAAGGGTGAGGTTTTGCAGGTGTTGGTGGGTATGCGTCCGGGAAAGGCACCGGGGATAGATGGACTGCCATGTGAACTCTACCTGTGGCACTGGCAGTTAATGCGTGGGTTCTTGGTGAAGTTGACGAACACCATGGAGGAGAGGGGGCGTTTGGGGAAGTTACAAGCCACAGTGGTGGTCATTCTGGTCCCAAAGGGAGATGCCCAGAGTACCCTGAAGGATTATCGACATCGGCAAACTTGCCGATGTCGCTCTTTATGCCCTCATCTATGTCGTTTATGTAGATTGTGAACAGCAGGGGGCCCAACACTGACCCCTGTGGAACACCGCTCGTGACGCTTCCCCACTCTGATTTCTCCCCATTTATGCAAACTCTCTGCTGCCTATTTGTCAACCATGCCTCTATCCAGGAAAAAATTTCTCCTCCTATTCCATGTGCTTTAATTTTCCTCAATAGTCTCTGATGTGGGACCCTGTCAAAAGCCTTACTGAAGTCCATATACACAATATCATATTCATTACCATGATCTACCTCCTCAAATACCTTAGTGAAAAAAGTTAATAAATTCGTAAGGCAGGAACGCCCCTTTGTAAAACCATGCTGAGATTCGTTGATTAATTTATGCTTTTCAAGGTGGCTACGAACTGCCTCGGCAATTATTGATTCCATAAATTTTCCCACTATGGAGGTTAGGCTTATTGGTCTATAGTTCGAAGCTAAGGACCTGTCACCTGTTTTGAAAATAGGTATCACATTTGCCATTTTCCACTTATCTGGCACCATGCCAGGTTTGTAGTGATATGTTGAAAAGATTAGCCAAAGGTGTGCTAAGCTCCTCTTTACATTCCTTTAGAACCCTTGCATACAGTTCATCAGGGCCTGGGGATTTGTTAGGTTTTAATTTATCTATTTGCCTAAGGACCATGTCACTTGTGACCCTAATAGTGCACAGTTTATTATCGTCCTGTTCTACATAATTTATCATTACTGGAATATCGCTGGTATCCTCCTGTGTAAAAACTGAGAGGAAGTATGTGTTAAAAATTCTACACATTTCCTTATCACTGTCAGTGAGCTGACCCGAGGAACTTTTGAGTGGGCCTATCTTGTCCCTGATCTTACTTCTGTATACCTGAAAGAATCCTTTTGGGTTAGTCTTCGATTCTCTTGCAACTTTAACCTCATAATCTCTATTTGCTTTTCTAATTCCCTTTTTTATTTCTCTCTTTAATGAATATATCGATTTCTTAATTGCCCCTCTCCTCTTTTGATTTGCCTATATATGCCTCTCTTTTGACCAATCAGATATTTTAATCTATTGTTCATCCATTTAGGATCATTTTTGTTTGATCTGATTTCCCTATTTGGAACATAATTTGACTGAGCAGCTAGAACTATGCCCTGGAAAGCATCATATCGGCAACCATCACCACCTACCTGACCCTAGTCAGGTCATTCCAGTTCAGCCCACCTAAGTAATTTTTCAGTCCTATGAAATCAGCCAAGCGAAAGTCAGGGACGGAGACTTGATTGCCATTATTAGGGGAATTCCATGATATGTTAAAACTGAGTGATTTGTGATCACTCTCCCCAAGCTCATCATTAACCTCAAGATTATTAATTAGTGTTTCCCTACTGGCAAGAACCAAGTCAAGGAGGTTATTTCCCCTAGTTGGCTCTGTCACAAACTGTTTTAAAAAACAATCCTGGATCGTATCAAGAAAGTCACCCGACTCTAAATTTCCTGTCAAATTGCTCCAGTCATTTTCCGGTGCACAGCTATGTGCATGTGTGATATTTTCTGTATGTACCTATTGTTCTCAATATGTTTATTCTATATATTATATATGTTTGTACAAAATATGTTCTCAGTATATATATATATATATATATTATATATATATATATATATATATATATTATATATATATATATATATATAAAACTAAAATGATCTTATTAAAATTATGTTGGCTGTCAAACCTGCTAAAAGTTTTGGCTCTGAAGTGATAATGTTTGCTTTCATAATTCATCTTTTTATATAATCTAAGTATTATTTTACCATAATAATTACTATAAATTACTTAGTCACACTGATTGCTTTGTCAGTATTACCTTCACCACACTAATCAATATCGTGTACTATATATTATAAATGCAACATACATTATATTGAATTAAGTACACATTACCTTTATAATCATTCTTGTGGCCTGAAGTAAGATGGGTGAAGCCGACAAGCCAGATAGTGACAACTTTCAAAACACTGTTTAAAGCCATGACTTAAGACGTTGTTCTTTCTTCACTAGTGACTTCCAAGAATTCCACCAGCTGCTACGTCGGCTACTGTGATTCTTCAACACCACCAGCAGCGTCTGTCCCTTAAGTAGGAGAATCACCTCTGCGAACCTAGAGTTTACATCTCTCGATTAACAGACGGACTTTCGAGCTTTCGTCCATCTTTTCTAAATAACTTGCACAGAGGTAGAGCTTCACGTAAAGAAAAATAGTAATAATGGACGTTACGTTGCAACAGACATCTACATCACTCAGAGCGCCTGTCTGAGTGGACTTTACGCTGCAACAGACAACTACATCACTCAGAGCGCCTGTCTGAGTGCCACTGTCTCACCACACGCCTGACAGAAGTGAAGCCTGGAGAAGCCGGATACCAGCCAATGTCTGCATTTTTTTTATCGGAAACGAACAGAAAGAGAATGGGAATGACATAGGATGTGCAAATAGAAATTATTAGATACAGTGTTCATCAAAATAGAATGTTCCATATACAACATATTTATGGAGAAAGTGTCGGGATCAATAAACTACAAATTGCTATCACTTTTGACTAAGTATCTTTTGTAGTTCAACTTATATGGAGTTTAAAATTAATGAAATGTAAAGTGAATTGTCAAGTACAGGGACACACTAAAATATTGTCTAAGAAAATCTATAGAGGTAGATACAAACTAAACTTATGGGAAATGGCGCAACCAAAATCTAAAGGACTTGGACGACTCAGATTTTTAATCCTGGCAGACTCATCTGTTTTGCGTGTACTCACCGAGTAATGTTTGTTGGCCTCGATTATTAGCTCCTAACAGAGCCTCTGTTTCTGATTTCTGGTCTCTTAAAACTTATCATACATATTCATGAAGCTGTGTATATAATTTGCCTCCTCTACTTCTTCTGATTTATTCCACGTTTCTAGCACACCGAAGTTAGCTAAGTAAACCAAACCATACCACGGGCGGGGTTGGAACTCGCGATCAGAAAGTCTCAGAAGTCCAGACTAACATCTCTATGGATCTTTTGTCTCCTCAGTTTCCACACGTGTTTCCTAGTTTGGTTTCCTGCTACTCACTACCTTTATCTCTTTCTCAAACCATATTTTAAAAAGGCATTCAACATTTAGAACAGCATGATTTTTTGTTATCGATCCCGACCTTTTTTCAGCAGCTTGTCCTTGTCCATCCTAACAAATCCTCTGAGTATGTTGAACAGTAATGTTATGTCTTCCCTTTTCTTCGTCTTTAAATGACCCTGAGAGTACGGATAGAAGGGGCATTTAGAGAGGAAATATAGGGTTAAAGTGAAGGAAGATGAGAAATACAAGACGACCTTTTTATGCAACATTTGTATATCTGGAAAAAGACATTTACTTTCAGCTCAGGATGTAAGTATCTTTTCACACGTCTTGTCGGTATCACCATATCATTTCTCAACTTGGTATCTTTATTCTAGAAACGTTTCGCCAGCCAGTGGCTTCTTCAGTCCAATGCAGAGAAAAGTGGAAGATGAGGAAGAGTTTGAGGCGATCACTGTCGCCAGCCTTGAAGGGGGTTGTTAGTGTAGAGCAGTATTCCAGCTTAGAGAGCACAAGCGATTTGAAAAGAATCGTCATGGGCTTGGCGTCCCTAGTTTTAAAGGTTCTCATTATCCATCCTATCATTTTCCTTGCGGATAAGGTAGATACATTGTTGTGGTCTTTGAAGGCGAGATCCTCTGAAATTATCACTCCCAGGTCCTTCACATTACTTTTCTGCTCTATTGTATGGTTAGAATTTGTCATATACCCTGACACATTTTTTATTTCATCAAGTTTCCCATGTGTGAGTAGTTGAAATTTCTCCTCGTTGAACTTCATATTGTTTTGAGTGGCCCATTCGAAGATTTGGTTGATGTCCGCTTGGAGTCTCGCGGTGTCTTCGATGGAGGTCATTGCCATGGTGATCCAGGTGCCATCCGCAAAGGAAGACACGGAGCTATGGCTTACATCTCTGTCTATGTCAGAAATGAGGATGAGGGATAGAATGGGAGCGAGTACTGTGCCTTGTGGAACAGAGCTTTTTACCGTGGCTGCCTGGGACTTTACTCTGTTTATTATTACTCTTTGTGTTCTATTTGTCAGGAAGTTGTAGATTACCAAAATTATTATCCAGAGGGCTGAGGAGGGATTGTTGAGGTGGTTCGGACATGCAGAGAGAATGGAAGGAACCAGAATAACTTCGAGTGTATAAATCTGTAGCGGAGGGAAGGTGGGGTAGAGGTCGGCCTAGGATAGGTTGGAGGGAGGGAGTTAAAAAGGTACTGTGTGCGAGGGGCTTTGACTTATAGCAAGTATACGTGAAAGTGTTAGTAGCAAATGGAGACAAATGGCTTTTAGAACTTGACGTTCTGTTGGAGTGTGAGCAGTGTAATATTTATGAAGGGATTAAGGAAACGGGCAGGCCGGACTTAAGTCCTGGAGATAGGAAGTACAGTGTCTACACTTTGAAGGAGAGGTGTTAATCTTGCAGTTTTATAATTATAGTGTCAGGGCGCCTCTGGCAAGACAGTGATGGAGTGAATGATGGTGAAAGTTTTTCTTTTTCGGGCCACCCTGCCTTGGTGGGAAACTGCCGATGTGTTAATATATACGTTTTATATATATATATATATATATATATATATATATATATATATTATATTATATAATATATATATATATATATTATATATATATATATATATATATATATGTCGTGCCGAATCGAATAGGCAGAACTTGCGATTTTGGCTTAAACAGCAAAGCTCATCTTGCCATATAGGACAAGCGAAAATTTGTGTATGCAATAATTTCGCCAAAATCATTCTGAACCTAACGAAAAAAATATATTTCACTGTGTTTGTTTAGTATTAAATTATTGTAAACAAATCTAAAATATATATAGTTGGGTTAGGCTAAAATAAATTGTTCTTGTTATAATAAGGTTAGGTAAGTTTTCTAAGACTCTTTTGGTGCCAAATTAAAATTTTTTACATTAATGAAAAAAATATATCTTTAAACGTATAAGAGAAAATTTTAGAAAGGACTTAATTTTAAATGAGTTCTTGCTAATTGACCAGTTTTACATATTCGGCACGACATATATATATCATATATATATATATATATATATATATATATATATATATATATATATTTTATATATATATATATATATATATATATATATATATATATATTCTATTTCTTATATCTGCAATATTCGTAAGAAGAAAACCAGGTTTAATCATTCTCTATGGGTGTTAATCACCCTTATACCAATACAGAAACCAACCATTACTGCATGTGTATATATTGAATAATCTGTCACTTTAAGAATTAGGGTGACATCAATATATTGTATGGTAATATATTATATAGTAATTATATGGTAATATATTATATGATAATTTTATATGGTAATATATTATATGGTAATTTTACTGAACTGAAGTGAAAAGTTGAAGGAATTTTGTTTGTCATGCTGGCATCAGTTACATGTTAATTTTGATAAATTTTATTCTTCATTTTAGAAGTATATGCTTTTTTTTTCTTATGCTATTATCATCCATTTATTATTTTACATAAGCGGAATGAGCGCCTGTGCTTATGCTTTATTGTATTAATTATTATGTGATTTTTTTTGCCTTTAATAATCATTTAACAATGATTATTAATTAGTAATCATTTAACAAATACTATTTTTTTGAGTAAATATGTAGAGTAGGTGCTTGTGCAGATACCAGCGTCAGGATATACTTTTCCGTTTTGTGACGAGCAAAACATTACCATTATAATTTCTTTGTTATTCCGTAGAGAAGGAAAAGTTAGCTAGGGCACGTCAGCGGATGCTTAATCATCGAGCGAGTTATCGTGTAACCAAGATAGGTGACGCTTTCCTGTTTCCATACAACAAATGTCACAACTACTAAATAATACTGGAAGTTGGGAGAAGAATGTATTGATACATTAGTAAATGGATCAGCTTTAAGGGCGCTGAGGAATTACTGCTCTATTACCGTTTAAACTGATAATGGAGTTAATTTCACCCAACAAGAGATATATTCTTTTCTCTGCTTTGGGAGTGCCAAATATTAATGACAGACATAAGTTTCTACTTTTCTTAACATATAAAGCGTTTTTCAATCCTTAGCTTCACTAGTCAACTCCTATTACCGTTCTATTGGCCACAAAAGTCTCATAAAAAATGACATGTTCACTCTCCAAACCCAATGATTTCAATGTTGTAAAATATGAAGTGCTCACATGGGTGGGGAATTTGCACTCAATATTGGCATTAGTTTCTGAGTTGATATTTACGCCAAAATAGATAAAATAATCATGTTGAAGTACAAGGGGTTTAAATTATATTCCCCATCATATGATTTCATATCAATATTGCCATAAAAATCTTATTGCCTATAAGTTGACCCAACGGATTATGTACATTCAGCTGAGTCTGATTCCATTGTGTATATAGGATACAAAAAGACTTCTTTTAAAACTAGTACTCATGACCATTGGGGCTTTATTTCATACTTGAATTTAAAGCTATTAAAGCATTTGTGTAAGGAATTACTTTATCCATTAATAATATAATCGATTTTAGGGGGTCATAATAGCCAATACCGGCTATTGCATTTTTAGTCTCACTGTACAGTCGACACTATCCAGAATATATTTATATAAGTTGCTGGTGTCTAATAACATGTTAAACATCTGTTTACTCCTCTCCCTCTTCAGTACATTAATTTTGTCTTTTTTCTTTCCCTTAATGACATAAAAAAAATGGTTGAAATAATACTGGATAACGATTTTTCATTACGGTGTTTCTCCCTAATGTTTCTAATTTTCTTGGTGATAAATGCCTGAGAAGTTTAATATACTCCAAATATGAAAATAAGAGATTAGATTCAGTAAATTACTCATTAAGTTATAAAGCCAGTAATTTAAATATAGACTGACTTAATCTATTAACAAATATTGCTTTATTATTATCATCTCCCAAAAGTAACCCCATCATCATTTACAATATTTATATCCAGTTCCACAATTTAAGAGCGCTGTTTCCAAAATTCAGTATTTCTGGTTAACTCTAAATATCTCGCAGGTGCGCCTGTCAGCTATACTTGATTCATTGTAAGCTGGTCAAGCCCAGTGTGGTTAGGCGCACAGATGATCTTCCTTTGTTACTTTCACATATAAATATGACAAAAGACATGCTATCTCTTCATTCTGAAACTCTTTTAAACTCCCAAGGTAGGAAATTTCTGAAATCCAACACCAAATTAATCGCTAGTCATATGCTACAGAAAAAGACTTTTTAGATTTTTTGTAGTTATTGATGGATATTGGACTAGAGTTGAAAAGATATGTTTACGAACAGAGTAAATTAATTTTTAAATCGTTTATAAGAACTAATTTTGAACAGAGAAGTAGTGTTCAATGTCCCAGTATGTACAATGACTAAAAAATGCCATTTATAGGAAATTGCTACTTAATATTGCAAAGTATGGGGACACATACGGTTATATAAATAATGAAAAGGCTTTCTCTAAAACCGCCATTGACCCATTTCTGAAAAATATTAGACGTTAGTGCCAAGATAAATTAATTTCTTCAGTTACAAAACTGAAATTATTAGTTAATACACCTCTTTACCCCGGTTTTCAAATTCTAGAAATTGCCAAAAAGAAATTATATTTTGGTATAAATGCCGAAGTTTCACTATGGGGATGATGCCCAGTTGTTGTATAGAGACAGAGATTCATATATGTTCAGTATAAAATGCAAATATTTACACACTGAGATGAAGAGAGAACGATTGCTCTCTCATATGGATTTCTCCAGTTATCCCAGAGATCATCCGTTGCATGATAATACCAGGAAAGGAGAATTCGGACTATTAAAATATGAATTTATACATTATAATATTAGTGAGTTTTTCACCCTTAAACCTAGCATGTATTCTATAAAGTTGAAGGGGGGGGGGGGGTGAGACAGGTAATATCAGTAGAACAAAGGGAACCCCATCCCATTCCATGCCTTTGTTAACTCGTGCTCACTATAAGAATATGTTGACAAATCCAGTTAAGGAAACTTTCAAGTTTAAATCAATTAGTAATGTACAATGAGAAATGTACATTTCATAGACATCTCTAATTCATTAGGTTACGGTCACCCTGATATATCCCCAAGATGTAGACGTCTAAGATAGTATATATTGTTTTGTGTAACACTGTATATACTATGTATGTCACATTCCCCTTTGAAAAAAATGTACGATACATATTGTGTTAATGTAATCTTGAAATGATACTATTTGTACATAAATGTTTACCATGTAAACAAAAGATTGCAAAACTTTGTATGTGCTTTATTTATGCTTACTACAGTAATAAAAAGTTTACCTGTGTTTTGAATATGTTCACCTCTGTATAAAAACCACAGAATACCTAACGCCACAACAGTTGTCAGGCTACACTTTAAGAATGTACTTAAATGTCATTTATGTGGTTGTCTTAATTTAAACCCTGGGAGGTCCAGTTACACCACAGGTAAGAACTTACCATAATATTCTAGAGGCAGGAGATAAGTATTTAATGAAACAAAGAAATCACTAAAGACAGTATATCAAAATTTAACATGTAAAAAATAATGAACAATAAAAAGTCGAGATTAATAGTTCACCTTATGTGCAATTAAGATCGAGATTAGAGCGAGATCATACACAAATGAATTTAGAACAATATTAGAGATGAATAATACACCCTATACCCAAATACAATAAAGTCGAGATTAGAGTGACAAATAAGTATTCCTTATGTACAAATAGGATTAAGACCACGAGTGTTGATGTAAGTCAAAGGACAACATTAACCACATTTCATTCTGTCAAATGTGTAATATAAAAAAACAAATATAAAATACCAAAAATCAAATTTCATTACTACTATATATGTAATATAATTCGTGAAAGATCTTGATCTGAAGAAATAGAGTTAGGATGAATTCTAAGGATATAACTAGTTTATCCACCAAAATATACTCTATACTATAGCAACAAGATGCTCTGCTGTCGAGGACGCCGCCAAATTCGACTGGCTAATTTTTGGAAAACAAAATGCTCTTGTTTAAAACGCGCTAAATTTACGTGAAATGGCGCTAAATCGCACAAATTTTTTGACATCATTAGAAATGCCTAAATATGTTACAAAATAGTGCTACAAAATACTCTAATAGTTTACTAATAGTTTACAAAAATAACACATGCTTTATGTCATTCTCCCAATCAGCAATCTCTTCCTCAGCGTATGTCGCTATTTCTTGTTGTGATTGGCCGTTTTATCTTTCTATTTACTGTCTCGATGCATGCAAGGGCATGTGTCTATGGCTAGGACTGCATATTAATTTGTGACGTTTATTTCATGACTTTTTAAAATATTTCATATTTATGTTTTTAAGTTTATTGATTTTACTATTTAATAAGTAATAGATTTACTAATATGCAGGTAATTGCATTATTGCAATAGCAATTGCATAAATATCAGTGTAGTAGTGAACACGTCTTAGACCAGCC